CTAGGTTTTTGTGTAGTTAAGTACTCTCCTGCTCCTTTGAGGTACTGCAGCAGCTGCATGAACACCTAGTAGGAGGAAGTGGGTGAGAAGCAGACCTAGGGTTTGGACCACAGCAGCAAACTCAGTAGTTGTACAAGCTGCTAATGCCAAGAGCAAATTCTAAATCATGAGATGTCACTCAGATATGTAATATCTGCTCTTTAACCCCTGCTTTGCACCAGAAAGGTACCCATCATCTGAAGTTACTGCTTAGCACCAGCATGTTGCCATTTCTGGCTTTGCCAGAGAAAACTAGAAATGAGATGTAGATTTTTTTTTTAACAGTATTATTTATGACTTTAAATAAGTAGGTAGCATAATTAGGGATTGAAAGTGTTTTCAGTTGATCTTTGTAGCCATGCTATTTCTTTACATTATGCCTGCAATGCTATGCTCTCATTCTATTCATTCAGCGATAGCTACGTTCATGATCTGACCAAGTTCCAGACTCTAGCAATCAGTCGCTGTCTGCAATTACTACAAGTTGTTCACCTAAAATTTTCCCGTTTGGAAACTGGTATAACATTAGATTAATGTGTAAGTTTCTGCTTCTGTTGTGCAGTGTAGTTTCAGTCATTATGTGATCCCTAACTGGAGAATATGCCCTTATTACACATGTGACAAACTGCTTCAGTAAAAAATCCGCTTCAAGAACAAGATAGTTCAAAATAGTAGTGCTACAGTTACATCAGTCAATAATTTTTAAAGTTTTACAAAGCCAGAATAATATTAGAGGGGATACTATAAGATGAGAACAACCAATTCTTACTCACATTGTACAACAGTCATGGGAGAGTACGCTTTCATTAATACACTGACGGGCCCCTCTGTCTTGCTTTTACGTTCAGGAATAGGTTCAGTAATGTGGTTTCAACCCAAGTGCAGTTTCTGGGCTATTCCTGTCTGTCATGCCTACGCCTTAAATACCCGTACAGGTTCTGAACTAGTTCTTGATGCTACTCTGCCATGAATCAGTCATGGACCATTTTCCTCTGTGAATGCCCATAGCAGCCCAGCAAACAGTGAAGAGGCTGGCATGAGCCTGAAGAAGGTTGATTACATATTTCCAGGTATACTTGGTAACACTGACCAATTCAGCATTTTTAATACACAAACGGTTAAATATTTAGCACAAGTTACCAGTCCCTGCTGTGTCCTGCCTTGGGATAAAGTAAGAGCTTACTACATGCTCTGCTGAAGTGCCTTTTTCGTACTATTTTTTTTTTTTAATCTGTGTAATACATTGCGAAGGGGATTGAGAAAGGAGTGTAAAGGGGATTGGTATACCTCACTTAAAACATGCTTTGTTATTACCTTTATGGCATCATTACCCTATGGGGATGAGTTACAGGGTGATGAACACACCAGACTTCCAGGTGCAGAAAAATTACTAAACAGCTGAGCTACAGCCATGACTTCTCTATAACAGGCTGCAGGTATGTTACGGTATTGTTGAAACAACTAGCATGTATTGAAGGCTTACCACTGCTAAAAATCACTATTACAAATCAGCATTAAGTCAGCAAAGTGAAGGGCTTAAGTTTTGCACTGCACCAAACTAGTGCATGCAGAACTAGAACGAGTTCTAGGAGGATTCAGATTTGGTCCCGAAAGGGCTGTGATTTGCTTTGTAACTGCTTGTGTAAACTATTAGCTTAGCAGGAAACAACAGTCACATCATAATCCTCTTTCCTTAGCCCACCAAAAAGAGAGTCTTGATTCCTATTGCCCTGTGACTGTCATGCTCATAGTCTGCTATCTGTGACAAAATGTTACAGTAAACATGGATATTAACCAAACTATTTCACAGCTCTGATCTGTCTTGTTTTGTACTGAACAGACAGCATAATGCAACTCTCACATGAAGATCTGTTATGGAATAAGTTCAGACAGCCACTAATTTACTTTTTTAAGCATGTGTTGGGGAAAAATCACTCAAGTCAGTATGTGAACCACTCTTGATAATGAAACTGCACTGAGGTGTTAACTTATTTTAAACTTTATTACTATTGACATGTTGCATCCCTCTTTGTAGTACATTTGTATCTCAGTAAGGAGTTGTTGTATTTTCCCCATGGTTAAACCACCACTTTGTGCTTATCCTTTCCTCCTGAATTATAGTTGGTCCTTCATTCCAAGCACTTTATGCTATCTGTAATGGGATCTATTTTTGCACTGGAATATCTGTTAACTTTGCAAAAATCTAGAGAGATTTCACAACTGAAATTTCTAAGTTAAATCCTTAAATGGACATTTTCATTAAAAGCAAAAAAAAAAGTATATATATTTGTATTTGCTAATAACTGTTATGTGAAGTATTAAAAGGCACTCTAATTGCCTGTGTTAAGTAAAAAATAAAGCTGTTATGGCACCATTGGTCTTCAAAGTGTCATTTTTGCATATGTTCTTCTGAGGAGTGCTGTTAGCAGCTCGTTTGCCTGGTTTTGTTTTGTTGTGAACTTTGATGCATAATGTACACGCGAGTGCCAGTATCTCTACAAATTAGCACAGGGCACATTATTTTCAGGTAAGTGAGGTGGTGCAAGATTTGAAACGCAAGAGCTACTTTAAGCTTCTAAAGTTAGTAAATAAAAAGGTCTCCAGCAAATCCTGGAAAAAGTGATGGGTGTAACTGTCAAATCCAGCTGCAGAGCATAAAAAAGTTATCTGGATGTTTAAATCCCAAGTCAGGTATCTGCCTCCAAATATTTCCATTACAGAGATGCAGAAAGTTGCAACTATTGATAATTGTTCCTCCTCTTTGCTAAAAATACCCTATACCTGTTTTCACTGACAAAGCAAAATGTTATGTTTGAGTATAAAGAATCTGAAATACCCTAAACTTAGCCAATCCTTAGCTAATATCAAATTAAAGGAAGATCACTCAAGTTAATACTAGGTTGATTTTGAACAGCAGTTTACAAATGAAAGCAGAATAATGGTCCAATTGCTCATAGGAAGCTGATTTTAAAATTTTGCCTTCCACTGCTGGTAGTCCCACTGTCAACCAACTAAGTTGCAGAATCCAACCAATTCTTGAAGTTACACTCATCAGGTAAATTCATCCTGAGATATGAAGCCAATTAAAATTTCCTGGGTTTTCTGTTTTAATCTAGTGTCCAGCTGGTGCTTTGGGTAATGTGCTTGATTTATCATCCTCTTGTCAGAAAACAACAAACTTCGGAATAAAGCATACTTCTAACACACCGAGTATTCTTTACTCTCAATTCTGGTGACAAGGAAAATAGTTTTACTAAAAAAAATTACACTGTTTTTAGTATACCTCTCTATTTTTTATTCCAGTAAACAATAAAACAACTTCATTTTTGCATTCACATGGGGGAAAAAAAAAAAAAAGTCCTATTAATTCCCTGTCCCAGTTTTCAGCCCATGTTTTTATTATTAAAAAAAAAAATCCTTTGAGTTAACTGCCATAAGGCAACATTCTGAATCAACTTGGTAGTGATGGTTTATCAGCCATTTATACCTTAAAAAGTTGATTTGTAAAATGTAAGACAATGGTCTTTGAAGTAATGCTTGTTCTACCCTGAGAACACTAAAGATGGCTCTGCTGGAGGGAGGAAAGTATGAAGACTTTGGTGTAGGAGCTGGGACCTGTTATACTCCCTTACTACAGCAGCTGGATCCCATCCATGCACCTTGGTCATAAGCATAATTGCCTACAGCTGTTTCTTTAGTGCTTTCCATGAGATGCACTTTACAGAAGCAACAATCATTGTTAGGCAGACTGCACAAAGATACTTCAGTAGAGATGTGAACTCAATTGCTCATTCAGGTCAGTGATTAACTCGTGGAAAAGCCTCCCAAGTGCTCTGCCAGTTAGTGACCTTTCCATTGCAGAACAGGGTGCTCCATACCACTGTACACAAAACACAAGTTTGACTTCTCAGCCCATGTGCCCTCTGCCCTGCTGCTATTCACTCTAGCTTACTGGCTCTAAAGCAGCTATTATGAAGACTGTTGTTGACCAAAATGCAAGACCGGCCAAATGCTGTACTTGGAGAATGGGGTTTGTCATTTCACAGTTTAAAAAGAGTAAGAGCTTGAGCTGTAAACACTAAAAATATATGCTTTATCCAAATTTATTTGGCTTTCAACACTCTGGCAAAAAATATTTCAAAGAATGTAAGCACACGTGGATCAGCTGAGTTTGACTACACAGTTGAACAAGAAAGGCTAATCTCATTTCAGCACCCTAAACAAAATAACTGAAGGCACAGCATTATGTGTGTAATCCACAGTTTTGAGGAAGTGTTTACTGAACGAAAAAGGAAAGGGCTGATGTGAACTACAACAAGACAGTGAATAAACACGCTTCTCGTGGCACAGTTCATCAGGCCCCGCAACCTGAGCAGCCTCACTGCAGCACCTCCTAGGGGCAATTCCAGCCACACTGATCTTTTACATTACTCAGAATTAATGCAAAGCATCCCAATGAGAAGTCTGATTAAAACATAACTGGGTAACAGGTATATGGGGGCATTCCTTCTTAAACCAGTATGCAATAGCCGATATGTACCAATTACAAGAGTAGCCAAAGCATGTTATGAAAATAATAACCAGCCCTGAGCTGTCATGTTGGAAAAGAGCACTTAACTTCCCAAGTTTGATAAGTGACCTAGCTATGCAGAAAAGCATTAAGAACTGAAGGGTTAAAATAAAAGATAGGTGAAGTGTGGTTCATGCCATAAGTGATATGGCTTGAGTTCTTTCTCCTGGGGATGTAGGAACATCACCATAAACTTCTGTTCAGCAATTGCTATCAGAGTGCAAAATTTTACTGATTTACATTGCTAGCGGTCAGCATTTTGCATCTATTTATTATAAACTGAGGAATAGTTGGCTCAGTTCACGAGGGTATGATGATCCATGTGATGGCACTTGCTGACAGCACTTCCATCTTGTCCTTTCTGCCATCAGTTACATCCTTTAGAAGAAGGTTACTTCAGCGGTGAGCATTGCAGAGGAATCAGAAGCACATTTTGCTGGGAGTCCAAGAATCTGACACTGTCCCTCACTGAAATTAAATGCATATTTAATTAAGACAGTAATCCAATGAGAAATAATACTTTTCTCAGCATGCATGCAGGTAGCACTAGTGAGTGCTCTGGATCCATCATCTCTTACCAGCTGCTACCACTCTGGCATCTTCATGGGCGCTGTGCCTTCCCGCTGCCCGGTGATCTGGGCTCTCGTTCCACCAGATCACGTGGACTGAGAAAGTACAAATAAAGTCAGCTGAATACTGTTATGCTGCAATACAACATGTACTGTAAGTCCTAGCAGTCTGCCTTCACTTGTTAAATGCCGCAGTTAGCAGAAACAATTCTCCAGGTAAGCGGTGGCTTTGCTGAGCCTTTAAAAGGTTTGACTCCTCAACATCAGATCTGAGAGTCTTTTAAGATAGCAGCACCTGGCTTAAGGCTGTAACCTAATATGCAAAGCTGAGTTCAAGGACTGTTTACAGGACTTTGGTGATCCACACCAACATTTTCATCGCGCCGGCCAATCCTGACCCAGGACAAAGGCTTGCCCCCTCCCTCTGCCCCTTCCCATGCCGAAGTCTGTATCAGAAACTGAGTAGTACCTGTGTTAAGTAATCCATACTCTGTGTGGAAAACACCGATCAGCTTGGTGTAGCCTGTGTTGATGTGAGCATTGATTGCAGCTCGAAATGATTCGCCCCACAATGCTGGCCCACCAGGCTTCATCTGGAAAGTAACCCATTCATACACTCCTGGAAGAAAAGGCAAAGATGACCTCAAGGAAGGAAATACAAATTAATACGCTGGTCCTCAAACAGTGTGTCATGGCCATGACGTATTTATTGTGAAACCACTACTGCAATTCCTTGCCATTTGGGGTCAGCAGGACATGAAACTGCCCCTTCATCCCAGTATGCACAACACCTCACAGCGTCGAGGGGCTCACAAAAGCACACGCAAGCAGTTCGCTAACTGGAGCAGGCTCAAATGCAAATATAAGTACCGGGACCCTGAGGAACAGAAGGTTTCACACAAAGCCCAACTTAGCAATTTTCAGTGTTGCCTGGAAATTCGGGGAGATTCAAACCTCTTTGCAGAAATCAGAAATACTCATACATATTTGTGGGATTTGGATGGCTGATTGAACAATGCAAGGTGGCCTTTTCTAAGACTGGCGATGTTTTCTGGCATTGAAGTGGTTTATGACATTATAAACCCCTTTGACTCCTGGCAATTGGTCACAGCAAGGTCTGAAGGCATAGCGAGGATAAGCTTAGCATCTCTGCTCTGCCAAACAGTACCCCTTGTTTGCAGACAAATGGCATGATTTGCTGAAAAACTCCAGTCCTGCTACAAGACGTTATCCGTCTCCTTTTCATTCAGGCAGTTACTCTAGATCACACTTGCTGAGACTTCTTTAATAGAAAGCTAGACACTCGCCATATGGCAATGCATGTCTGGTCTCATTCTCCAGCAGTGGGCTGGAGATAAAGTAAAATGGGAATGAAGTGTTTGAGAAGTCATCTCTCCAGTTTTGAGAGAAAAACTGCCTGCTTTCAAATTCAACTGTAACAGCATGAAATTCAGAGGCACAGGGAAATAAAGAACAAAGATTACTGTATGTGTGCACATGCTGAGGGCTAAAGCAAGGTCTGTTTGATGTCACTCCATGCAACGAAGTCTGCAAATGTTCATAAATTGGGGAACAGTCAAGACTATTAATACCACACTTGCTACAGAGAAAATTAAAACACATCAGAACAGGATGGCTACAGCTAAGCTATGATTGCTACAAAGTATGCTTGACTTGCATGTATCTTTAAAAGGTAGGGATTATTTTCGGTTTTTTTCTTAAAACTATTACACGAAAGAAGCAGTAACATCAAAGCAAATTGATAAAAGAGGAAAACCTCTGTGAAAGAGAACAGCCACTGTCTTTAGTGTCTCCAGGAAATGCCCTCTCACTGATAAAGGGACAAGGCAAGTCCGGGATGAGTGCTCTGACCACTACTGCTGGTTGCCATTTTGCATGTTCGTTTAGGCAATTCACACACACTACATTACAACCTTAACGATCAGGGCTCTACTCGGTTACTGATGTAAGTTAGCGTAAAATCCTTCTTAAAAACTTTGTCCCTCATCTGTGTTATTCACCTTTTCCACATGGGTGTACGTGCACTTGTTACACAAAGGGTTATAAAACCATGTAACACCTGGTTTAAACTTTAAGCCATTTTTTGTTAGTCCATCAGCAGCAGTAACTTTAATCAGCAAAAGAGAAGATAAGCTCACCCCCTTCTTTTGGAGGTTTCCCAAGTTGACACCAGGGTACCAGATAAGCAACCTCATTGTGCTGCTTTTCTATCAAGGGGAGAGCTGGGAAGATGAATTTTCCCTGCCAGTCTTTGTCATTGGCTAGTGCATGCCGGACTGCTGCTCTGTGGGCAAAATTATCTGTAACAAAGGAAAAAAGAAAAAAAACCCAAAAAACTATGAAGAAATGCACTTAATGTCACATCAAACTCAATCAAAATGTCTAATTACAAGGAGGAAAGCTGCACTTACTTCCATAAGTTTGAAATTGATATTTTTAAACAGCGTATTAGCTCAAAGCAGGTGTGGTAAGTTTCCTTTAAATTCTGCAAAAATCTTTGCTTTAGCTCTCAGATTTAAATGGCTTCAAGCCAAAGCAAATTTTCCAAGAAAGTTTATAAAAAAGTTAAAATACATTAAGTGATGTTACTGTTAAGAAAGATTCATATATGGCATCCACAGGGACTACTGGATGTGGCAACAGTTACCAAAAGGAGACTGGAGATTCAGAGAAACCACAGTGGATAAGGAAGTGAAGTGGAAAAGAAAATTCAGAAGGAATATTAGCCTACCAAGAGAAAATTAAGAAAAAAAAGAGTTTTGGCTTCTATAAAATGACATTAAAATTACAAGCGTAGAAGTAATGTTTGTTTGTTCAGCTACATAAAAACCTATTACATGCCCCACATCTAAACCTTTTCTTCTTTTTTTTTTTTTAATTAAAAATAAATCCACTGAATTAAGAGTGTCTGAATTTCAGTTGGTTAGGCTGCACTGGCATTTTAAGCACTATGCTTATGCTGACAGCTTTCAATAATACACAAGAAAAATCCAGCATCTGAGAATGGGAAGAACCTTGAGAAATATCAATATATTGGGACCAAGAGAAAAATATACCAATTATTTTTAACTACTAAAAAGATATAAGCAGGGGTCTGATGAATCAAGGAGAAAGGATGTTGTACCTCACACATGTAAACACCAGTAGGAATCAAATAAAAATTGTAGGTTTTTCCTTCGTTTTCCATTTTAACAGTTTCTCACAGATTCTTAAAAACAGTTGTGTTTTTTTTAGAGAAAGAACAAGGCTAAAAAGTTCTGAGAAGCAGAATAGATGCATGTAAACTCATAATATTCCTGTCAACAGACAGCTGGTCCCTTCACCCCTGCAGGACAAAAGGGGTGACTGTTTATTCTAAACAGGTACTGTGAACATGCTGGATTTCAACAAGCAGACTGAGGACTTCAGAAATAAAATTCTCTGTCTCAGCACACAGATATACCCTGGACTGCAGCAGGTATACAACAAAATACCACCAGCATGCCTTCCCACCTCTCCATAACCCAAGTATCAAGTTCCCTGGGGCTCCACAAAGAGCACAGCCAGCACACCTAGTCTCTCACATAATTGTAGCTTTTCTTGGCTCACCAGCACCTTCCAGGTCAGTACCGACTCCAACAACATAAAAAGTTGATTATACTCCAAGAAGCCTGCTGCTACCATGGCTGAAGGAGCAACGAAATGCTTCGTGCACTTGGGAAGTCAGGGCTGGTGGAGTGGCTTCCCACCTCGGCACAGTCCAGCTGCAGAAGGAGTTTAAGCATGCAAACTGTGTGCCCATTTGTTTTAGAGGAGTGACTGTTACACTGAACTAAAATTTGAGAACAATTACACATGCATATAAACATACACAGACTGTATATAGATTATCTGCACTTAGATGTATTATCTTATTAAGGACGTCTCAACCTTTTTTTCCATCCATTTTGAAATTCTGAAGACATTTGTGGTTCAGGAACTGGCCCAAAATTAAAAATATTTACTGTGAACAAAGCACTCTGCCGCAGTTCCTCTATTATACCTGTTTTGAGCAGAGATCGCTGTTCAAGAACAGTTGTAACTCTCTCACCCCAACATGTCAAAATTGTCCTGATGGGCTCTGCAGTGTTCTTTTCAGCAATCAGTACAGGAACAAATTTTTCTTGGACAATTTCTTACAGTAAGAGCAACAAATAAAAGCCAGGCAAGCATTCTCCTCAGCTTCTTGCCTAGGAGACAAGGAGCACAGAGAGAGCAGAGCAGCACAAAGGGATGCCGAGCGTACCGTACTTCCAAACGTGGACAACCTTATTCATTGCTCCCAGCTCCGCAGACCAGCATCCCACCAGCTCCGAGTGAGCTGTGCGAAGGTGAAGGTACTTGTTGAACATTTCCACAAACTCCTTCATCTTTGGTGGCTTAATATCATACATGCGAATTTCGTAGAAAATGCTATTATTTTGTCTGGGCCCTGTAGCAAGGGATGCAAGTACCTGAGAGAAAATGTCAAGAAAAATAACTAAAACTAATTCTCAAGCCAGAAAACCATCTTCTGTCTAATTTCTAGACTTTTTTTACAACAGTGAGACATTATAGATACGATTTTTCTACTGGCGGCTGGGAGAGGGAGTACTTCATGATCTCTACTTCAAAGGCATCTTGTGACTTTTTTCTTTGGAGATAGTTCCCATGTGCATTATTTGCTGCAACTCCTTTTGGCAGTGCAACAGACCATGACGTGTCTTTTATTTGTCACACTCAATTGTTTAATGATTAGCCCATAACAAATCAGGATTTTCCTCTTCTCATACCCCTTCCTCAGGAAGCCAGCAGTTGGATGCAAAAAGTCAAAGCAATAAAAAGAGAGTTGGCTAAACACATTATCCAAAGGCAAGGCTGCTGATGCTACCGAAGCAGAGGCAACATCAGCCGGTGTCACCCTTACCCAACCAACTCACACTACTGCAATCTGTTTTCTAACGACAATCTTACATCAGTATTAGCAAATTACATATTCTTGGCAAAAGAAAGAAAAACATACCAGCACTTGGGAAAAGACTGATTCTTTCCAGCACAAGACTGCTAAAGTCTGCATCCTTGCCCTTCACTGGCTGCTTCCCAAAGGCTGGTCAAGAACAGTGTTGTCTATTCATATAACATAAAACCCTTCAGAAGTCCCAGAGTATGCTTACTTTTGCAACTGCCTCAATAACCTGGAACATGCTACTCACCTCCCAAATATAACTAGAAAAATTAAGGCCAAACCAAATCTTTGGCCTGAGCCTATATTTGCGCAGAGGTGGCTGCAGGATGGATTTCAGACATGACGTATTTCACGAGCATCAGCAGGCACGAGCACCGTACAGCTCAAGCCACAAAATACAGATGGCCAAGACCAAACGTCTTTTTTCCTCCTGACCCTTTGGAGTGTTACGCACTGAGTTGTGGCTGCCGTGTGTCATGGCTTCTCTTAGCATTTACAGTTTCTAAATCCCCACAGGATCCTGAACGAACAGTAATCCTACACTTCTGGTGAGCAATCACGACAGCGGGCGGCTGTCAGCAACCCATCCGATGCCGAATTTCCGCAGGGAAAGCGAAGCCTCGACGTTTTCTGCCACTCAAGCAAATACTGGGCCTAGCTCTGGAGGAGGCCCGGGGCCGACGCTCAGCACGAGGCGTGCCCACGCTTGCAAACAGGCCCGTTAAAGAGGATGTCGCGACAACGACAGCCCCTGCCCTGGAAGGAAGCGCCCGCCCGGTGCCGCCCCAAACCACGCCCCCCG